GTAGGCAACTCACATTTCAACACCCACGAGTAAGGGGAAGCTATGCTAGTATTACATTTTTCTAGTAGAGTATTTCGTGACAGAAAAAAAAGATAAGGAACGAATAATTCAAAGAAGAATAATGAATTACAATACAATAAAAGTCGTATAAAAATCGAAGATTCTCCTGGAGTATTCAATAGCAGAAGTTTTTTTAACATCAATTGTGAGCTTGCAATGTTGAAGCTGATTCGTCTAACTACTACCTAATATATGTAAATCTGCCTACATAAATAGGGGGCATATACCACCCCCTCCCTCCCCCTCCCCACCAACAGACACACCTCTCTCCTCCATTAGTAGCCACAGAAATTCGACACTATGCCACACAACACTTACTCTAACACTCACACCCCACTCCTACACCACCACAAGTACACGCCACACAAAAATTGACACCGCATCCCCCCTCCTTTCTATTACACCCGAACCCCTATTCTCATCCCTCTCGTAGGTACGCAACTGAAACTGAGCACCCTAGCCCAGCAACTGTTACACCTAGTGACGTAACATAAGAACAGGCGCGACACCTGTTGGGTGAGATGAGGTGTGGGGGTCGGGGGTTTGGAAAGAGGGTGGGGGGGGGGAGGGGGAACAGGCACGAGGACAGAAGTCTGTTAACGGTTAGGCCAGTTAGGGGGTTCGCCCCACGTGACGCGAGTGGTGTTGATGTGTGCGAGACGCACTGTAAACAACTGCGGTGGTGCGTGATTAGGGACGTATGTGTGGGGTGTGTGTTTGTGTGTGGGGTAGTGGTGGTGGGAGGGAGGGAGGGGAGGGGAGGGGGAGCACACACGGATCAGCAGATTGAGATCAAGAATCGTAGATCACGCAAGTAGTGGATCAAGCAGATCTAGGTAGGGGCGTTCCCGTTAGCACAACGCCGTGTTCTTCTTTACATACACACATACACACACACACACACACACACACACACACACACACACACACACACACACACACACACACACACACACATATATATATATATATATATATATATATATATATATATATATATATATATATATATATATATATATATTAGTCTATAAGCGATAATAATTTCCTGTTGTGTGTGCTAATGCATATTCCAACAGGGTAGACACATAAAAACATTGAGACATGCTAAGCTTGCGGAAAAGAAAATTATCGAACGTGATCGATAAAATGCTCAAAACGGAAACCACGTGCATCAAACAACACGTCTCCATCAAAGACATGCAGGAATGGGATTCTTTAATACGGCAGCCGCATAATTATAATTGTTACCTGTCTGGTCGCGCAGGTAAAAACAACAAAAGATAAAAACACAGGTGAGATTTTTTTTCTTACCTGCGTGAGCCAGTTTTACAAGAGGTAGGTGATGGAGTAACGACCCCACCTCCTCCCCCCCCCCCCCCCTTCGCTCACAAATACCTACTGTCGTTTACCTACACTGTTAATATATAATCAGAATTTAACTTTGATCTTTGAGAACAAGACGCATCGATACCAGGTATCGCGTTTCCAGCCATAAAAAAACCATAATCGATTACCCCAGACCAGACAGATTAAAATGGTTACTTTTTATTTTAAGAAAAAATGGAAAAGTATTTTTAAAAGTAATCAGCCGGGTTATGTGTTGTATGGTAGGTCAAGTAATCAAACAGAGTAGGGCTCAACCCATATGTTAGTTTTCTGGACTCAGCTTGTTCAGCATACGACGAAAAGGATTACATTGTTATAAAAATTTATGTTTAAAAATACGTTTTAATAGTACAAAAGGGAGATACTTCTATCAGTTATACGGTTTAAATTTTTACAAATCAAAAAGAAAACAAATGAAAATTAAATAAATAATCTTTAAAACATTTCATGTCAATAAATATTTTTTTTAAACATTGTTGGGAAACAATAATGGCCAACGCAGTTATACGGGTGTCGACTGATAAATATTATGTAATTAATATTATAAGTGAGTAGGTCAAGTCATGAGAGTGATAAATAGCTGTGGTGGGGTGGAGGAAGATGGGGTGGGGTGGGAGAAGGGACCGATTGGGAAGGGTAAATAACTCAAGAAACACAACCCCGTTAATAATACCAATAATTAACATTACCTAGCCACACGTATTTGGCAAAACAAAAAAATAGCCGAAAATAAAACGGTTAACTATTATAATAGGAACAATGAAAGGGGTGGAATTCCCTCTCGCTATTTATAGCAACTAAACAGCGCTGAGTTAGGGTGGGGGTAGGAGGCACTATTGTTATGATAATCATAAGTGCTACGTCACGGATTACCCATGCATTAACAATATCCCTAGCAGGAAATTGAGTTCGATACCTTCATAATGAAACCACAGTAAATCGAAGACCAACAAAAATACAAACGTATTATTCGTTATCCTAATTTTTTTATTTTAGAGACTTAAGTGAAGAAAAAAATATCGACTAACTGATCACTTTCTTTCTTCCTTTCCTTCTTGATTTCTTTCTTTCTTCATTTCTTTCATTCTTTCTTTACGGACATGACCGGCTCCAATAAGCCAGGCAGCCCTCAACACGACAGCGCTCACCTTCTAAACCACGTGACGCACGTGAACCATTCTTATATCATCCCTATCTGCTTCACCTACGTTTGGGTGGATTTGAACCAGGAAGAATTGATAACCTCAGCTCCCCCCCCCCCCTAAACCTCATTTAGAATGTATAACTTGCAGTGAACAGTTAAATTTGGAATAGCATTACTTGGTGCCAGTTCTATAAAGATTGAGAGAATGAAGTAGTGCAACGTTTTTCAATAATTCAAAATGGTTGAAAGTTTGCAACAATTCAAAATGTTCTGCAACATATTAAAATGGTGCAATGTTCTGCAACATATCTAAACATGTTCTACAACATACCGAAATGTTGCAATATTCTGCAACGGACCCTAAAATACTCTATGCAACATCGAAATTGCGCAATTAAGGCTAGAATTATCGGTATAGCCCCACATCAAAAGGCCCAAACTTGCAGACTTACGACATTCATTAGCCAGGAAATTAGAAAAACATTCATTATCTAGGAAATTAGAAAAACATTCATTAGCTAGGAAAATTAGAAAAACATTCATAAGCCAGCAAATAAGAAAAGCATAAAACTTATCTGCGTTATTGCAATCACGTTTAATCAGAAATTGCACAATATGTTCTATAAATAGACCCATTAAAAAGTCATCTAGTCTAGTCTAGTACAGTACAGATAATTTAGTAGGGATCGAAGCGCATAGGGTAATTCCGGTTCTATTTTTTAGACTATTTTCTTTCTGAGGCTATTCTTGACAAATCCTTTGAGTAGAAAGATAATAATCATTTCTTTCACGCGATGAACGATTCATTTACTAAAAGCTGTGTTTCTGTTTCTAGGAATAGTTGGTCGAAATGATAGTGGTTTGGAAATTAACTTAGTAGATTGCTTAAAAATTACTGATAGGGAATTATCTAGTATAGTTATGTTAGAAATATTTATTTTAAAACGTTAACGTTTGTAACAAAATATATATATAATTTTTTAGTCTAATTCCTATTCCCTATAGGAGCATCATTGCTGATGTAAGAAAAATAATAATTGTAAAATCGATTTTTTCAATACATGTACGTTAATTATTTCAATATATTCAATAATTAACTTACATGTAGATCCTTTTTTTTTCTCTCTGATTATCTAACTAATGTATTAGATTCGGAGCAATGCAGAAATAATTGGATCTGTTAATTGACGTCTTCAGAACTTATAAATGGGATGATCTTCAACATTTTAAACTTCTTATTTATTACTATTTGCTCCTAGAAAAAATAAAGCATCGTACATTGCTGAATTTAGGGGTTATCGAAAAGGTCCGAAAACTTGCACACACTCCCCTCCCACTCCTCAAAAGCCATGACGTCAGCAGAGTGACCATTTGGTGATATGCCCACACTATAAACTCACCCCCACCCCACACCCCCCTCCGCCTTTATGACGTAAGCCCCGAAAGCGGAGGCTATTCGGCTTCATTAAATCGCTTGATCAAATGAACGAAGTTATGGGCGAATAAAAAAAAAAGCCGGAATGGAATGGGAAAAATGTTGTTGCCGGCTCCGTGACGCCGGTTGTGATAGAAATAGCAAACTAATCAAAAACTGTTACTGGAATTAAGGCTCGGTACAAACACATTCAGCAATTAGTTCGTCAATTTTTAGAACATTTAACATTTTATTTTGTGTTTCAATATCAATTTTATCAAACATTCAACAACTTTTTTAGGATTTTAACATCGCTTCTCACATTGATCAAAACTAGATATTTATTTTAATATAAACGTGAGATGTTCGACGTATGAGGTCGAACATTTTAATATTTAATTATTGTTATAATGTCGTGTCAACTCGACCCATTCCATACGCATTTAATGATGTACTGTGTCACCTGATTCATAATCAAAGTCGGAAATTTAGTCCGCCCCCTCCCCCACGAAAATTTCTGGTGACCCCCCCCCCCCCCCCCGGGAGAAAAAAGTCTGGAATCAACACTGCAAAAGTAGAGTATGCGGCGGTGATTTACGTTTGTTATTGTTAAGATACATTGGTGAAGATAGTGGCCAAAAGCCGTGTTATATTACACAAGTGGGCCAAAATGCCATACTTTTATTTAAACCTTGATCTTAACTTTAAAAACACACCGTATCATCGACGAATAACCTTCTGATAACCCATCATTATATGTACGAACATATGAATATGAATATATATATATATATATATATATATATATATATATATATATATATATATATATATATATATATATATATATATATATATATATATATATATATATATATATATATATGTATATGTGTGTGTCTGTATGTGTGTGTGTGCAATATAATTTAGTTGACTTAAAAAAAAGGAAAGTATTAAAATAAAAAGCATAACAATATTAAAAGCAAAACTTACTGTGTTTGTTTTACTTGACTATCCTACTCCAAAATAAAAACACACAGAAATAACGAAAGTTCAAAATTCTCCGAAATACACTTTTCTTTAAACTAAAAGTTCCTTTTAAATATACAAAACACACTATCTACATTTTATCAAACGGTTAAATCCTCGTCGAATATATTTTGACTTTGGGGAAACAGAAATGACATTCATAAACAGGACCAGGTCGGTTCATCAAAGGCGACACGTCTGGCCCAAGTAAAGAACTAGACACACTATTACCTTATGCAGGTAATCTTGAAAGGTGAATGGGTTTGGTGAAGGGGGAGGGGGAGGTAGGGGTAGGAGGGGAGGGGGCGGCGTCGCTTTTGGGTCAGTGACCCGTAAAGACACGGGGACGAGATTTTCATTCATACACGGATTAAACAAACTACAACTCTTGCTAGTCAGAGAGGGGGCGGGGTGGTGGGAGAGGGGGGGTGGGTGGTAAATCACAGGGGAGAGTGGATGAGTGTGTGGGAAGGTATAACAGAGGTGGGTGGGTGGGTGGGGGAGGGTGTAAGGACAGGTATAGCAGAAGTGGTTGGGGGTGGGGTTAAAGACAGGTATAGTAGAGAGGTGGGTAGGGGGAAGGTAGTTGAGAGAGGACGGTTAATATTCATCCCCTCTTGTGGAAAGCCGCCAAAAATGTAAATCAAGTTATGAATTTAAAAGATTACACTCAGTACAAAAGAATCTGTAAAAAAAAAAAATCGTGTAAAATTAAATTCATGCCCTAGGGCTCCGTTGAACTGTATACATTTTAATATAATTTACTCGAACTAAGACGGGGGATTTTTTTTGCTTGTATTATCAAAGAACAAATAATTAAAAAAAAATGTTGGGGGTAAAGTAGGAGGAGCATTGTGATTGTTTAGGCTGTCTAGCGCCGGGAGGTAACTCTGCTTGCACTGTCGTGTCATAACTGGTCTTCCCCTTGAAATCATTCACCGCGTCCTTATCACTGTGTCTATAGGAATGGGATTTTTTTTTTTTTTTTTTTTTTTTGCTACATTTTCAAAATTTGGGTTTGGGCAAACTTCGATGTCATAACCTCAAATCTCCCATTCAATTTGAGAGACTAGCGAATTTTTTTTCAGCAGTGTAAAAAAAAATGATATTTTAAATAAGCTTTGAGATTCTCTCTGCTGTTGAATTTGATAAAGCTGTATTCAATAGATAGGCTCATAACAAAAGCTGTGGGGGTGGGGTGTGTGTATGGGGGAGATTATATTTGGGGGATTACACTTAAGGTCATGTGGCAAGTTATTGAAATGTTTACATATTCATAATTCGCGACATATACGGTGAACGGAAAAGGGGAGTGAATTTTTAAAGTTAACCTTATAGGTTAGAGAGTAGCAAAAAATGTAAATGACAGAATGAACTCTAGTTATCAAATGGGCTTGTTTGACATGAGATAAGATTGTAACGAAATCTATAGAGGCCCAATACTCCGACAACCAACGTTCTCTCTAAGAATAGAAAGCTGGTATGCAATGTTTATTTTATGTGAGTAGTGTTCACGTTGTATTTTACAACCGCGCGGCAATTTCAAAACTACCGCACGACCGCGGAGTTTAGAGGGAATATTGATCACAACCCTATTCAACATCAACTAGTAACAGTGTATTCACAAATACATTAACATGTATAGGTGTTTGTCTTCAGGTTTTGATTTACTTAATCTCACCACTCCTCCATCATAACTTGTGTTGTTTTATTCTTGTACATTTCAAGCGGAGACCAGTGGTCAAAATGTTACCTATAATGCTGAGATTTTACCTTGTATAAATCATTATGTATAGCATTTATACACACAAAAAGATATGCTACATTTTATGATAGAATATTGTAACTATTTAACTTTTTTAAAAATTGTAATTATCATATTATGAGAAAAATGTTTCGGCAGTAGGTCTTCGTTATCTAAACGTCATCAAACATTTTCAAGGAACAATTTTCTAAGACATTCCCAATCCAACTTCTCCACATACTCAATCCACAAACTTGAAGGTCAATATCCAAAGGTCAAATCCAGTGTAATCCAGGCCGTCCAAACCAGGGTAATCGACTGCAAGATTTTTAGAAACCGCTGACCGATACTCCAAGCCCAAGGGGGCTAATTCATATAAGATGACCTCTTCAACCGGAAGTCATCCGAAAGAAATGCTTCCGGGTTTTATAAGTCGATTAAGTCTCGGATGAAACTCAAGTCACCGCGAGAGTGGCCGCAGCGACGGGATTACACGTCACGTGACGTCATCAAGCTAATGAGCCAATGGCTACTTCAGGAATACCCTCTGGAATGTGTTGTGTACGATGTTATTTTTAGCTTACACTAAAGGTCAAGTACATTTTAACATCTTTTTCTATACATCTTTTTTTTATTGTCATGAATTAAGTGTAAATTAGTAGTTTAATTTTTGTTATTTAAATTCATCTTTTAAGAATTAACGTTACTCTTATATGGCGAGTTATTGAATAATTGCATTATAGAAGGCCTTCGATACATTATTGACTTTACTTTTTAAAATGTACATGTAATGATATTTTTTTACGGTACAAATGTAGTGTATAATTTTAACTATGAGATTACAATAGAAGATTTCAGAACAGATATTTTTTTTTACGTCGATCTGTAGGCAGAAGATCTTTTTTTTATCTGGGGCATCACAAAGGCACTACCTACAAGAAGACATTTTACAAGAAAATCGACATTATTACAAGAGATGGACATTTTACAAGAAAATCGACATTATCCTAGAACACGATTTTACAAGAAAATTTGAATTTATACCATAATATAGACATTTTAAAAAACGGAGATTATACCTGGAGATGGACATTTTATAAGAAAATAGACATTATTCCAGGAGATGGACATTATACCAAAAGGCGGACGTTATCACAGAAAATACTTCACATACATCTCTGTGCCATAGCTCAGGATGCGCATGTGCAGAATACCTGACGCATGCGCACCATCTTGTTAGAGCAATAACTCCATACAGCACCCACAAAAAAATATGACACAAACAGCCAAACTAATTACCAGCGAGGAATCCACATTGACTGAAGTACATCCGTACATAAGAACGAATAGAAACAAAAAAAATTGGAAAAGGTTGCGGGAAAAGGGTTAGGAAAATGCCGGGAAACGGGTCAAGAGTGTCGGGAAATCTACCCTTCTAACCCCATAACCAAGTCTAGATCATACTTACAGCGGTAATTTTGAGAAGTGAACAACAGCAATCATAGTTGTCTCCCCGCTCGTATATATAAAGCGCTCTGAACAAGGCGGTTGTCGGTGATATTTTTATTCTGAGCTGACTTTATATGTATAATATTAATGGATGTAGAATTTCTTTTGATCCCCTAAACACCAATCAACAGCGCTAATTATCTGATCTTGAAAGAAAGTTAATGATACAAAGGCCGCACCACTAATACAAAGTAAAACAAACAAACAAGTAATTCCTAATAACCGAAAACCGAGCCTAAAAAACAAAACAAAAAAAAACAACCAACAGAACAGGACATTTAAAAAAAAAAATCATTCCAGGATATACGACGTTTTTATTTAGCCTGACGTGACCTTGACATTCGCTCTCCGCAGACTTGCAAATCGCTTTTTCTTTCCCCTCCCTCCACCCCATTTTTTTTTATAATAATGTCCAATTTTGGGATTCGCCATGTAAGGGGACAAAAACTCCAGATAATTGCATTTCAAATCTTCCTGAAATATGACTACGGTTACGAAATGACAGATTAAAAAAAAAAAAGAGCGATGGCTTAAATGTAAATTGACACAATCCTCCCCTTTCATCCCTCCTCATGCACACTGCCACCAGCACCCCCCCCCCCCCTCCCGACCTGAAGATTTAAATACACTTTTTTTACATTACATTCTTAAAGCCTCTGTCTGGTTACATATGAATCGTTTGTTTGTCTGGCATTTTTTTTAAACCCTCGATCATCAAGAGGTATCGTTTTTCGCTACAACTTACAACGACGCTGGTATTGTAATTTTAATTTTTGATTAGGTGAAGGTTTGGCGGCGTACAGGGGGAAAAAAAAGGAAAAAAAAAAGCCAACCAAGGAAGACCTAGAGACCTGGAAGAAGACACCAAGAAGATTGGATACACCTGGGGACAATTGGAGAATAGCCCAGGACAGAGACGCCTGGAAAGCTCTTGTCAGTGGCCTATGTCCCAGTGGGGACGACAGGCAAACCTAGCACTAAGGTTTGGCTAGGATTATTACTTAGGATATATATATATATATATATATATATATATATATATATATATATATATATATATATATATATATATATATATATATATATATATATATATATATATATATATATATATATATATAAAGGAATATCACGATATCTGCATCACTTTATAATAAAATGGACTACACAATAGCTCAGGAACCATTGTTTGAGAACCGCTGAATGTATTGTTACGAGAGGACGATATTTGTATCCTCTAATCAAGGCAGGCAACTCGCCCTACAAACATTGTCTGCCCTTGTTCCGTCCCGCTCCACTGCCTCCCCCAGCAGACTAGAGCCTGATTGTCTGCCCCGAAACTCTCAGACTACAGTCTGTCTGCCCTCGCCGCACGCCTCATCTACTTCCATATCCCTCACTTAAGCTCTCTCTTACGTCCGCATACTTACAATCTGCTGTCTACATACGCTATTCATATTACCACCGTCTTCTGCATAAAAAATAAAAAAAGTTCCGAGTTACGGAAATCGGAGAAGGGTGTATACGCGGGGAGACTACTCTAAAATGACAGTCTAAATCGACGAGAGTTATGCACCAGAATTCGTATCATTGTGATAACATTACGCAACACTTGACTGCCGGTCTGGTAGAGCGGCGTACCGAAGACAAAGATTTATGGAGCCGGCAGCCGGCTCACTCAACCGGAACAGGTGGCTCCAATGGAAAATTTATCTTAGGTAAAAATTCAACGTTTGAGATTAATTAACTTAACATGCTTGGTTGAGCTTAATTGGACAAATGCTAATTGATGAAACACATTTTGGCATAAAAGAACAAACTGTATTATACAACGCTGATCGAAATAATACAAAACTTAAATAATTCTATTGAAATAATCAATGAGGAA